CAGTGCAGAAGGAACGCTTGTTAAGGAAGACGTGACTCTCGCTCTCCGTTCACCAGTGTTTACATAGACCACAAGTGTAGTTTTTTTTTTAATGTGTTTTTTTTTTCTTTAATTTCAAGATAAAGTGAATGCGTGAGTCTTTCTCGTAAATTAATGAGGTGATTAATTTCAAGATAAAGTGAATGCATGAGTCTACTCTCTCAAGATAAAGTGAATGCATGAGTCTATTCTCGTAAATTAATGAGGTTGATTAATTTCAAGATAAAGTGAATGCATGAGTCTACTCTCGTAAATTAATGAGGTCGATTAATTTCAAGATAAAGTGAAAGCATGAGTCTACTCTCGTAAATTAATGAGGTTGATTAATTTCAAGATAAAGTGAATGCATGAGTCTACTCTCGTAAATTAATGAGGTTGATTAATTTCAAGATAAAGTGAATGCATGAGTCTACTCTCGTAAATTAATTAGGGTGATTAATTTCAAGATAAAGTGAATGCATGAGTCTACTCTCGTAAATTAATGAGGTTGATTAATTTCAAGATAAAGTGAATGCATGAGTCTATTCTCGTAAATTAATGAGGTTGATTAATTTCAAGATAAAGTGAATGCATGAGTCTACTCTCGTAAATTAATGAGGTGTTCCGTCCCGTTGAGATAAAGTGAATGCATGAGTCTACTCTCGAGGTGAATTAATGAGGTTGATTAATTTCAAGATAAAGTGAATGCATGAGTCTACTCTCGTAAATTAATGAGGTGATTAATTTCAAGATATGCATGAGTCTATTCTCCCTACGTAAATTAATGAAGGTGACATGCAACTTACAATCTCACACAGGACAATAGAAGATTTTATCTCCCTCTTCTAAAAACAATCATGGAAACTGGTACTGAGATTGCCGGTCGTAAGGATTCAACAGTGTACTTGTAAACAGTAAACATAACAGCATTACTAAAGAAGCAAGTAATTCCTCCCCGGAGAGCCTACGCAAGTACGGCCACCCAGACTCCTCTTCAGGTGTAACATTGTCAACTCTGACGTAGGAATCACTGAGATGACGATGATAATCGCCATATTACTAGGTGAGTGAAAGCAAAAACTATTTGAAATGTATCAATACATAAACAGAAACAAATAAAAAAATACACACATACACATACATATACCCGTATGTATACACACACACACACACACACACACACACACACACACACACACACACACACACACACACACACACACACACACACACACACACACACACACACACACACACACACACACACACACACACACACATATATATATATATATATATATATATATATATATATATATATATATATATATATATATATACATGCACATAGATAAATACATATATACAGACACACACACACACACACACACACACACACACAATATATATATATATATATATATATATATATATATATATATTATATATATATATATATATATATATATATATATATATATATGCATACATCCATACATAAAAACACACACACACAATATCAATATAGCAAAATCTAGTTATAACAAATAGAGTAAATTATAATACTCATTTACAAATGGTTTGTTTAAATGTTAACAATATATATATATATTATATATATATATATATATATATATATTATATAATATATATATATATATATATATATATATATATATTTATATGTGTGTGTGTGTGTGTGTGTGTGTGTGTGTGTGTGTGTGTGTGTGTTAGTGTGTGTTAGTGTGTGTGTGTGTGTGTGTGAATATATATGTATATATATATATATATATATATATATATATATATATATATATATATATATATATATATATATATATATATACATATGTGTGTGTGTGTGTGTATTATATATATATATATATATATATATATATATATATATATATATATATATATATATATATATATATATATATATATATATATACGCACACACACACACGCACATATGTGTGTGTGTTTTTGTGTATAAAATGGAAGGAGGGTAAAGGGGTGTGTTATCTACGAGAGGAATCCCTGTGGGTCGGGGACGTAAAATGTCACTGCGATTCGTAAAAGGCGACCATAAGGACCCCAACCAGCCTGCGCTTTTCGTCCGTATGATGCAAACCATACTTCAACGAGGTGGCACAGATTAGGGAAAGCCTGTGTCTAACAACGGATTTTAGGAGGCTGTAAGTTAATATATAGATACATACATGCATGCATACATAGGTATAGATAGATGAATACGTTTGTGTATGTGTGTGTATTTATTTATTCATTTTTAAGCGAAACGTGTTCAATCTTATATTCCTCCACAATTGGTCTGCTATGAAGGAGTAACGAAGATTTCCCATTTCCTTGAGCTTTTCTTGAATCTTTTTGTATTGCTTTTAAAATCGACAATGCTATTATTGTTGACAATATGATTCTCATATCATTAACCATACTAACAGCAATGACTTTCCAAATGCTGATGGAAAGGCAAATCTGTAAGAGAGGTGGGACTGGCGATAGACTTCCTCATGACCTTAATGAACCACCTGTATGTAAACAAAATCAATAAACTAAATCCTCAATCGGCAGGACATGTACGTAAGTGCAATCTCCGGTAATGGTGGCGTAACACGATCGAAAAAAAGAGGAATATGCTACACCAAACAGGGTTTTTTTTCAAATCAGTTTTATCATTCCAGTTGCATCGCTCAGTGCAGCGGTCGAGGGGACAGCGAGAGGCCGCACCCCGCCACCTCGCCGCGCCTGCCACTCCGGGGTCAGGCGCCGCAGTCACCCCTGCTGCGCGCGAGATGCCACCGCCGGCGCTTTTTAGAGCAGGGTCCGCCTCCTCAGCCTCAGGAGGGAAAAGTGCAGGGACGACTCCAGGCTCTACGACTTCAGAAACAAACGGTGGACTTGCTCTATCTCCCGCAAGCACACCAGAAACAACTCCGAGAGATAGCACTACAAGCACAAGTACCTCCACAAGCACACCAGAAACACCTCCAGGAACAAGCATTGATAGCACAAGTGCATACACAAGCACACCAAAAATAACTCCAGGATTAAGCACTCCAAGCACAAGGACACCAGAAATAACTCCAGGAACAAGCATTGATAACACAAGTGGGTACACAAGCACACCAGAAGTTGGCACTCTAAACACAAGCACATCCACAAGCACGTCAGAAAAAAATCCAGGAGATAGCACTCCAATCACAAGCACATTTATAATAACTCCAGGAGTAAGCACTCCAAGCACAAACACACCAGAAATAACTCCAGGAACAAGCATTGAAAGCACAAGTGCATACACAAGCACACCAGGAATTAACACTCCAAGCACAAGCACATCCACAGGGACACCAGTAGTAACTCCAAGAGTTAGCACTGCAAGCACAAGCACACCAGGAATAAGCATTGAGAGCACAAGTGCATACACAAACACACTAGGAGTTAGGACTACAAGCACACCAGAAACAACTGCAGGGGTTAACACAAGCCCAGAAACCAGCACACCGGAACCGGCTTCACCTGCCTCAGGAAGCACCGCAAGCATCACAAAAACAACTACAGGGGTTGATAAGAGCACCAGCACAGATGCAAGCACAGACACAAGCCCAGAAACCAGCACACCGGAACCGATTTCAACCGCCTCAGGAAGCACCACAAGCACCACAAAAACAACTACAGGGGTTGATTGGAGCACCAGCACAGATACAAGCACAAACACGAGCACAGACACAAGCACAGAAACCAGCACAGACACAAGCACAGCAACCAGCACACCGAAACCGACTTCAACCGCCTCAGTAAGCACCGCACCGTGGAGCACCAGCACAGACACAAGCACAGAAACCAGCACAGACACAAGCACAGCAACCAGCACACCGAAACCGACTTCAAACCGCCTCAGTAAGCACCGCACCGTGGAGCACCAGCACAGACACAAGCACAGAAACCAGCACAGACACAAGCACAGCAACCAGCACACCGAAACCGACTTCAACCGCCTCAGTACCAGCACAGAGCACAGCAGCACAGACACAAGCACAGAAACCAGCACAGACACAAGCACAGTAACCAGCACACCGAAACCGACTTCAACCGCCTCAGTAAGCACCGCACCGTGGAGCACCAGCACAGACACAAGCACAGAAACCAGCACAGACACAAGCACAGCAACCAGCACACCGAAACCGACTTCAACCGCCTCAGTACAAGCACAGACCAGCACAGACACAAGCACAGCAGCACACCGAAACCGCGGTACTTCACACCGAAACCGACTTCAACCGCCTCAGTAAGCACCGCACCGTGGAGCACCAGCACACAGCACACACAAGCACACCGGAACCTTCTCCATCCTATCCAGGAAGCAGCCCAACTCCTCCAGTCCCCGACTCACTAACGACCACACGAACTCCCGCCAAGTGTTACGTTGATCCGTACTACACGTCGATCGAGGCGGAAATAATAATACCACGCACTCTGGCGTTAGCTTGGAGTAATGCAGGTAGGGTATTTAACTTCTTGGACTGATGACGTATGACTATAATATTATTTTTTTTTCTTATTCGATTTGGTGCTGTTAATTTACTTTTTGTTGTTTATTGCTCTTGTTATATGTATGTATATATATATATATATATATATATAATATATATATATATATATATATATATATATATATATATATTTGCGTGTGTGTATGTGTATGTGTGTGTGTATTGTACATACATACATACATATACATATATATGTATATGTATATATATATATTATATATATATATACATATATATATATATATATATATATATATATATATATATATATATATATATATATATATATATGTATGTATGTATGTATGTATGTATGTATGTATGTATGAACAATTTTTTTTTTCTTGTTTTTGGTTATCATTTTGATTATGACCATGTTCATTTATTTATGTTTATTTACCATTTCTTCCCTTTCTATTGGTAAACATTTACTTGTTTGTATCATTTTCTACAATTATGCTTGTTGCGGTTCCTCCCCGTTGGATCACCAGCGACAGAGTGAGAATCTCTACTCCATTTTCATCAACCAGATCGTAATTTTATGTGTGATAACGGAATTATGTATTATAATATGTATGATTATGTACGGATAACGGAAATGGTATATGTGATCACGACTATGTTAACGGTAATAGTTGTAGTGGTTACTGTTGTAGTGTTCGTGTTTGTATCACTAGAATGGGTTGTATGAATGGTGTTGCCCATATTATGTTAATAATAATGATAATAATGATAAAAAATAATAATATTAAAAAAATAATGATAATAATGATAAATAATAATAATAATAATAAAAAAATAATAATGATAATAATGACAAAAAATAAGAATATTAAAAATAATAATCATGATAATAATGATAAAAAAATAATAATATTAAAAATGATAATAATGATGATAATGATACTACTACTACTAATATTACTACCGATAATAATAATAATAATGATAATAATGACAAAATAATATTAATAATAATGATAGCAGTGCTAAGGATATTGATATAATGGCAGTAAAATTAATTACACTAATAATAATAATAATGATATAATAATAATTGTAAAAAATATGATCAATAATAATACCAACAAAATCATTATAATAACTAATAATCATAACACTGACAATTAAGATACTATTAATAGCAGTAACAGTAATAATGATCAAAATAATAGCAGTGATAATCACAATAATAAATAATAGCAGTGATAATCAGAATAATAATAATAAAAGTAATAGCAATGATAATAATAACAATAGTAATAATAATAAAATAATAAATAATAATAATAGTAAATAACACAAACAACAATATTTATTATGCTCTTGAGAATAAAAGTGACAACAAAACAAAAGAGGAAAAGGACGAGGATGTTGGAAATATGATTACAAAATGCTTTTACAAATCATATTTTCACCAACGATAAAGATGTCAAGACCTTTGGAATAACTCGCGAATTTCTCTCCCTAGCGCCGTCGCCTGTCGAGGTGTGCGTGCAGGACGACTGTCAAACATCTCACGATTCGTCCGTGCAATTCGGCCGGGTCATGCCGGGCGAGGGGCTTCTCGTCACAGTCACGGGGGTCGATTTCTACGACTGCGTGGAACTCTTTGTCCCGTGTAAGTTGAGTAGCTTTATAGGCATGTGCATGTTTAAGTGTATACGAATACATTCTAATTTCTACATACAGTTTGAATATATACATAGGTATATATACATGCATATATAAAATAAATATATATATATATATATATATATATTATATATATATATATATATATATATATATATATTATAATATATATATTAATATATATATATATATATATATATATATATATATATATATATATATATATATATATATATATATATATATATATATATATATATATATATATATATATATATATATATGGTAATTTTCTATATTACCTTCGCCTCTCCGATATCAACGATTTTGGTATCGTTGGATTCCTCTCACTTTGTACAATCCAAATATGTAGGTTTTATTGCACGGAAACCCCCTCGTTAGCGGCAAACTTGGCCCCGATAGAAGGGGCGACGATGTCAGAGCGGCGGACGTAATGTAGAAAATTACCCTAATAATATAACCCACAGTGAAAATAACCGTGGTTATTCACATGACTTTCCACTGCGACCCCCCCTGGGGGAGTGCTGCCGCCCCCCAACCCCCGCCGAGGACACAAAATATCCCCCACGTATTCACGGCAGGATAGAGCGCACACGAACTAGATGCATCGAAAAAGGCGCAAAACCCGCCGACCCGACGAGGGCGGGCCACCGCCGCTCTTCTGTTCATGGTATACCTTGTTCATCCTGATTATACTACAATCGTATCTGTATACAATGTTGACTATATCAAGGTTAGTATGCTGATTCAGTGGGAATGTTACGAGGTAAATGTAATACTTCCGCCGCTCCGAGATCGCCGATAACTGTGTAACGCTCTAGCCTGCCGGGAATACGTGGTGGAGGTTTTGTGTCCTCGGCGGGGGGGTTGGGGGCGGCAGGACTTTCCACTGCGACCCCCCCTGGGGGAGTGCTGCCGCCCCCCTAGGTGGGGAACACAGGGGGAACAGCCCCCTGCAATGTAAAGTCATGTGAATAACCATGGTTATTTTCACTGTGGGTTACATTATTAGTGTTATTTAACCCCGCATTTTCCCTGGAACCTTTCATGCCCTCCCCTGCTATCGGGGCTAAGTTTGTCGCTAACAGGGGGTTTCCGCGCAATAAAAACTATATATTTGCAATGTGGACAGTGAGGAATCCAACGATACTAAAATCGTCGAAATCGGAGAGGCGAAGGTAATATAGAAAATTACCCTATATATATATATATATATATATATATATATATATATGTATATATATATATATATATATATATATATATATATATATATATATATATATATATATATATATATATCATCATCATCATCATCAAGGGGCTAACGCCGACGGGGGCGTATAGCCGCATCCACCCTTCATTTCCACCTACGAGGATCCCTCATGGCAAGATGCCAGGCAGGGACTCGGCCCATCTCTAGTTCTTCACGACAGGTTTGGTCGATCTGCCCAAGCCACGACCTCCTAGGTCGTCCCACAGGCCTCCTCCACCCAGGGTTGTCTCGAACAGAGACTACCTGATAGGCAGGATCATCCTGAAGAAAGCAAGCTAGGTGGTCATATAGCCTGAGTTGGCAATCACGGATTGTGATGATAACAGGTCCTGTGCCAGTCTCACGGTACAACCGTTGGTTGGACACATGGTCCCGCCAACAGTACCCCATGATCCGGCGCAAGGACCTATTACAAAAGGCTTCAAGACGAGCCTCCAAGGCACAGGATAATGTCCAGGTTTCACTACCATATATCAAAACTGGCATTGTCAGGGCCTTCAAATCCTGTAACTTGGTCCTTCTGCACAGGTATCATCTCCAAATACTCTTGTTGAGAGAGTTCATGACCCCTGCTGCCAAGCCAATCCTTCTGCTGACTTCCTGGTCTGACAGCCCAGAGTTTTGAACCACGCTACCAAGGTATGTAAAGCTCTCTGTGACTTCAATGTCCTCACTGCAAGCACGTACTGACTGAACAGGTTCTAGCAAGTCCCCAAAGTTCTGGACCTTGGTCTTGGTCCAGGAGACCTCTTGGGAGCAAGGGTTTCGCTTCATTGCTAAATGCGTCCAGAGCCGCTACTAAGGTTTCCAAAGACTCAGATAGAATAGCAACATCGTCAAAGTCAAGGTCAGTAACGATATTGCCCAGCGTTGCTCCACATTGACTTTGAATAGTAGCTCTGCCCAGTATCCGGTCGATGCAGGTGTTGAAAAGAGTTGGCGTAAGGACAAAGCCTTGCCTCACTCCTGAACTAACAGGAAAGAAGCTCGACAGGCCCCTGCCATACATTACAGCACTTTCAGTACCAGTACACAGGCTTGCCATTAGTCCAATAATCCTCGTTGGATTTCCTTTCAGTCTCAGGATCTCCCAGAGTGATTCCCAATGCACCGTATCAAACACCTTCTTGAGGTCGATGTAGGCTGCAAGCAGCCCATGCTCAAACTCTCGGCGGCGCTCAACAATGACTCAAAGCGCAAGGATAAGGTCTATTGTGGACTTACCAGGAGTGAATCCGGATTTCTCCGGTCTTTGGTATCTCAGTACATGGACTCTGATACGTCTCAGAAGGATGTGGGCGAGAACCTTGCCTGGTATGCTGAGCAGTGTGATGCCTCAGGGATTGCTGCAGTCCCATCGGTCCCCCTTCCCCTTCCAGAGAGGGATAACCTCACCCCTCAACAGGTCAGGAGGAATGGTACTGGACTGCCAGATGGCAGCCAGGACAGGATGTAACCACCGTGCCATAGGTTCACCACCAGCCTTTAACAGTTCAGCTGTTATGCCGCAGATACCTGCTGCTTTAACACTCTTCAGCTTGGAAATCGCCCCCCTAACTTCATTTAGGGAGGGAGGATCCTCACTGATGGGAGGATCTAGCAACGGCATCTCAACACTACCCGCATCCAAGTCAACTGTTGGTGGGTCAACCTGGTACAACTGCTCAAAAACTGCACCGCAACAGGATCTGAAACAATCTGACCACTTACTAAGCGAACTGCTGTCACCTGTGAAGAGGGCTTGGAGTTCAGCTTCCTCAGGGCTTGGTATGCAGGACGAAGGTCATTTACTAATAAATGACCTTCTTCCTCCTTTGCAAGACTCCTAATAATTTGTTCCTTGTCCCTTCTTAACAAAGACCTAGTTCTGCACACATGAGAATGGTGCAGTTCCCAATCCTCTGTCAGACGAGCCACACGACAAGCATCTGTGGCTTCCAGTGTCTCCTGCGAGATGAAATTCTGTATTGTTTTCGGGTGTACACCAATCGTCTCTTGAGGTACATCAACTGTTTCACACTTGAAGGTATCCCACAGAAGAACAGGGTCTGTCAGACTGTCGAGCATTATGAAACGACCAGAGATTGCCTCAGCAAACCCACGGGCACACTCCCCCTCCCTCAGCCTGTCCATATATATATATATATATATATATATATATATATATATATATATAGTAATATATATACATATACATACATACATATATATATATATATATATATATATATATATATATATATGTATATATATATATATATATATATATATATATATAATATATATATATATATATATATATATATATATACATACAGACATGTATGTATATATATATATATATATATATATATACATATATAATATATATATAATATATATACATATATATATAATATATATATATATATAATATATATATATATATATATATACATACATATATACATACATACATATATATATATATATATATATATATATATATATATATATATATATATATATATATATATATATATATATAGGCCAGTGAAGGTAAATTCGGTAATTGCTTGTATGGAAGGTGGCATTAGTATTAGTGACTAGCGTGTCCAAATCGGCAATTTGGTTGTTTTCTTGCAACTCACAGGTAAATTTGTTGCTTGGGTCAAGATAAAATAAGGACTCAGGTACCATCAATGCTTCGACAATAATAGACGATTTTTAACTCAATGTTCAAGCCAGTTAAGGTCAAGATAATCAAAGGAATGCATTGATGTATGTTTTGATATATATTTATGTAATGAAAATACACACACACACACAAACACACAAACACGAATGTCCGCACATACAAATTGGTACACAGTCATACACAATGCCATTCATATGAAGGTATTATTTGCCAGCAGGGAAATAATGAACATATCCGTTCATGGCAGAACATAAAGCCTCAAAACTAACAAGCTGTAAACTGGTCAACAAGCAGTCTTCCCTTCTTTTTAGAAAAGGCAAAAAGCGAATAACTCTTATCTATTAATCTATTCATCTATATTTTTGTGTACGTCTTTTAATGCATGTATGATATGTATGTAAGTATTATGTATGTATCGATCTACCTACCTATCTTTCTAATTGTATATCAGTCTATTTATATATCGATCGATCTCTGTATATATACCTATTTATGTATAAATATTTATCTTTTTATCTATCAATTTACCTACCTCCACGTCTACCTACCTATCTGTGTATATACCTATCTGGCTATCTGTCTATCTACCCGTCTATCGATCTTAAAATCATCACAATAAATCTAAATGTCGCTTCTATTTATATGTTTATCTTTTTGTCTATCAATTTATCTACCTCTACTTCTACCTACCTATCTACCTGTGTATATACCTATCTGGCTATCGATCTATCTACAAGTCTATCGATCTCAAAATCACAATAAATCTGAATGTCGATCTATTGCTCCTATTAATATATCAATTTATCTCTTTGTCATCAATTTACCTACCACCTATCTGTGTATATATCTATCTAGCTATCTATCTACCAGTCTATCGATCTCAAAAGCACAATAAATCTGAATGTCGATCTATCGCTCCTATTTATATATCTATTTATCTCTTTTATCTATCAATTTACCTACCTCCACGTCTACCTACCAATCTATCTGTGTATATACCTATCTAGCTATCTGTCTATCTACCAGTCTATCGATCTTAAAATCACAATAAATCTGAATGTCGCTCTGTCGCACCTATTAATATATCTATTTATCTCTTTGTCTATCAATTTACCTACTCACCTATCTGTGTTATACGTATCTGGCTATCTATCTATCAGTCTATCGATCTTAAAATCACAATAAATCTGAATGTCGATCTATCGCTCCTATTAATATATCTATTTATCTTTTTGTCTATCAGTTCACCTACCTCCACGTCTACCTACCTATCTCTCTGTGTATATACCTATCTAGCTATCTATCTATCTACCAGTCTATCGATCTCAAAATCACAATAAAAATCACAATGTCGATCTGTCGCTCCTATTTATATATCAATTTATCTCTTTGTCTATCAATTTACCTACCCACCTATCTGTGTTATACCTATCTGGCTATCTATCTACCAGTCTATCGATCTTAAAATCACAGTAAATCTGAATGTCGATCTATCGCTCCTATTTATATATCAATTTATCTTTTTGTCTATCAGTTCACCTACCTCCACGTCTACCTACCAATCTCTCTGTGTATATACCTATCTAGCTATCTGTCTATCTACCAGTCTATCGATCTTAAAATCACAATAAATCTGAATGTCGCTCTGTCGCTCCTATATATATATTATTTATCTTCTTTGTCTATCAATTTACTTACCCACCTATCTATGTTATACCTATCTATCTATCTGTCTACCAGTCTATCGATCTCAAAAGCACAATAAATCTGAATGTCGATCTATCGCTCCTATTTATATATCAATTTATCTTTTTGTCTATCAGTTCACCTACCTCCACGTCTACCTACCAATCTATCTGTGTATATACCTATCTGCCTATCTATCTATCTACCAGTCTATCGATCTCAAAAGCACAATAAATCTGAATGTCGATCTGTCGCTCCTATTTATATATCAATTTATCTCTTTGTCTGTCAATTTACCTACCCACCTATCTGTGTTATATCTATCTGGCTATCTATCTACCAGTCTATCGATCTCAGAAGCACAATAAATCTGAATGTCGATCTATCGCTCCTTCCCAGGGCAATTCAGGATCGGAGCTGCAGCGGAAAATCTCACTCTGGACTGGATTAACGTCACGCCCCTTGACTTGAGCGTGTGCGTGGCCAGAGACTCCGGAGATTTCCCCACCAGTAAGTGTGACAAAATAGATAAATAAATGAAAGAAGGAAAGAAGGAAAATACCGGGCAGGGCAGAGGGAGTAAAGAATTCGAGAGGTTGGGGTTAAGACTCGATTTAAAAGCGTCTTTTGTTTTTCGTTTTTGTAACAAGGGGGATTTTTGTTTGTTTGTTTGTTTTTTTTAGCTGTCTGTAATACGATCAATCAGATTCCTCTACAAAGATAGTGCCTGTAGGTCAGACTTCTTTTTAAAATCTTACTTTTCAAACCCCCTTTAGACTCGTCCTATAGCACCTGTATCGTAGCGACAGGCTCTGGAGCCTACATATCGGGCCTCGAACCAGACACTCCCTATTGGGTCAAATTAGGCGAGGCAACAGTCTTTCACACCGCCACACATCCCATTGGTGAGTTCGGTTTCGCTTAATAGAAAGTGAAAAGGGAGAAAGTAAGAGCGTGTGTACCTGAATGAGTGAGTGAGAGAGCCGAGAGAGAGAGAGAGAGCGAGAGGGAGGGAGGGAGAGAGAGCGAGAAAGAGAGAGAGAAAGAGAACGAGAGGGAGGGAGGGAGAGAGAGCAGAAAGAGAGAGAGAGAGCGAGAGGGAGGGAGGGAGAGAGAGCAGAGAGAGAGAGCGAGGGGGAGGGAGGGAGAGAGAGCGAGAGGGAGGAGGATAGAGCGAGAGGGAGGGAGGGAGAGAGCGAGAGGGGGGGGGTGAAGGGAGGGAGAAAAAGAAAGAGATAGGGAAGAGAATGATTATTTATTTATTTGAAGTAGAGAAAGAGAGGATTGCAAAGACCAGCCCGTTCACCACTGCACTACACAGCACATACTAACACAGCACATCACACTACACACACACACACCACACACACCAACCAGAGAGAGAGGGAGAGAGAGAGAGGAGAGAGAGAGGGAGGGAGAGAGAGAGAGAGGGAGGGAGAGAGAGAGAGAGGGGAGGAAGGGAGAGAGAGAAGGTAGAGAGAGAGAGAGAGAGAGAGAGAAGGAGGGAGAGAGAGAGAGGAAGGGTGGGAGAGAGGAGAGGAAGGGTGGGAGAGAGAAGAGGAGGGGGATGGGAGAGAGAGAGAGGGGGTGGAGAGAGAGAGAGGGAGGGTGGGAGAGAGGAGAGGGAGGGGTGGGAGAGAGAGTAGAGGGAGGAGGGAGAGAGAGAGAAGAGAGAGAGAGAGAGAGAGGAGAGAGGAGAGAGAAGAGAGAGGAGAGAGAGAGAGAGAGAGAGAGAAGAGAGAGAGAGAGGGAGAGAGAGGAGGGGAGGGGGAGGAGAGAGAGGAGGGAAGGGAGAGAGAGGGGGAGGGAGAGCGAAGAGAGAGGAGGGGGGAGGTGAGAGGAGGGAGGGAGGGAGGGAGGGAGGGAGTGGAGGGAGGGAGGGAGGGGAAGGGAGGGGGAGGGAGAGAGAAGACGAGAGAGAGAGAGAGAGAGAGAAGAGAGAGAGAGAGAGAGAGAGAGAGAGAGAAGAGAGAGAGGAGAGGGAGAGAGAGAGGAGAGAGAAGAGAGAGAGAGAGAGAAGAGAAGAGAGAGAGAGAGAGTAGAGAGAGAGAGAGAGAGAGAGAGAGAGAGAGAGAGAGAGAGAGAGAAGAGAGAGAGAGAGAGAGAGAGAGAGAGAGAGAGAGAGAGAGAGAGAGAGAGGAAGAGAGAGAAGAGAGACAGAGAGAGAGGGAGGGAGAGAGATAGAAGTGAGAACGCATGCGTTATTTCATTCCTTTCTGCCTTCCTCAGCCAAGTACAGAAGCCTGGCGTTCCGCTGTCACGAGGCGGGCGCGTGCAGCATCGGCGAGTGTCGCCCCGCCACGGACGGCCTCCTGCTGGATATCAACTACGACTCCGCGGTCCCCGAGTCGTACCCCTTCGTCTGCGTCGATAAGGGTCAGGACAGGCTATGATTACATGTTATATGAATTAATTATCTATCTATCTGTCTATCTGTCTGTCTATCTCTCTATCTCTCTCTCTCTATCTATCTATATATACACACACATATGTATGTATATCTATATATATGTATATCTATAAAATGTATATATATATACATATACATGCATGTATATATATATATATATATATATATATATATATATATATATATAGATAGATAGATAGATAGATAGATAGATAGATAGATAGATAGATACATATAGTATTATATATATATATATATATATATATATATATATATATATATATATATATATATGTATGTATGTATGTATGTACACACACATACACACACAATAATATATAATATATATATATATATATATATATATATATTATATATATATATATAATATAATATACATACACACACACACACACACACACACACACACACACACACACACACACACACACACACACACACACACATATATATATATATATATATATATATATATATATATATATATATATATATATATATATATATTCATATATATATATGTATGTATGTATCCATATATTTAGATAGATAGATCAGTAGATAGATATAGCTGTAGATATATTTGTGTTTGCTTTTGTGTATTGAATATTTCTTAGGCATTGAATCGCCGAGGGTTTAGGCGGGTTCTTTCAAGTCTCGATGTCTTAGATTATTCTTAGTAAAA